TGGGCAGCGGCGCGCCCCAGGCCGCGGCCCCGGCGCCCGCCGCCCACGTCGCGGAAAACCCCGGTGGGGACGCGGCCCCCGCAGCCACGGGCACCGCGGCCCCCGCCTCTTCAGCCCCCGCCGGCAGTGAAGACGCGGAGAAAAAAGTTCTCGGTGAGTCAGGCCCCGGAGGGTGGGGACCGCTCCGAGTGGGGCGGGCGGCCGGGCACGTGCGGGCAGCGCCCGCCGCGTTTCCCACCGGGGGCGCCGGAGTGACAGCAGGGGGTCCCCAGCGCCCGGGGCCGCAGCCCGCCCGCCCTGTGGGGCTCCCGGGTGCGCGCGCGCCGCCCTGCGCTCCTCCCCGCCCGGTGCGCGCCTCTCCCGGTCCCGGGCCGGCGAGCTGGGGTCTTGACTTTTGTCACCTTAGGCGCAGGCACTGTGGCACCTTCCCGTAGTGGGCGGGCTACCTCGGTCCAAAGAGGAAAGGAGCGGCGGTCTGGGAACGAGGACGCAGGGCAGGGATGGCCGTGGATGGAGGGGAGGGACAGACACGTGGGACGGGCACCGTGGAGCCCTCGCTGGGGATCGGGGGTGAGGGGAGGATTTCCCCCGGGGGGGGGGGGAGGCGGGGGAAGGGGGGGCCGGGGGACGGGCAGGGCAAGGTGGAAAGGCTTCTTGCTGAGAAGGCTCAGGTGTCTGTCCCTGACGCCCTTCCCACATGGGCACGGGAAAGACGCCATGCTTCTGTCGGCCACATGCCGGCGAAGGGGTGTTGCAATCCTCTCCGGGAAACTTGGGTCTCGGTCCCACGTCCTCCTCCCTCCCCGTGCCCACTGCTGCGCTCACCAATCGCTCACGCGCATTCTCCTTCCCGGACTGTGGGAACGCGCTCGGTGCAGCAGCTGAAAAAACTTGGTCGATAGCGTGGGTATGACGTTTGTTCAGAACACCCTTATCTTGGGACTTGTAACTTAGCAGAGCAGGTGGGAAGAGGTCTCATTCAGGTTTGTGCGGGCAGAGCCTTCGAATGGTTTTCTGTGGTCCTTGTTGGCTTCGTCGTCTTGCTTCAGCGTTTTCAGCCCTTCTGGAACGCCCTGTGAGGCCTTAAGCGGGTTTATGAAGCAGGTGGGTGGTGAAGAAACCCTCCAAAGGGTGCGTGTCTATGTCAGTCGCTCTTTTAAACAGGAAAGTTAAGAGATGGTGTCGGATGCTTCGGAGACATTTCCAGTGTTTGGGGCGGGGCGGGTTTGATCTGTCTGAGCCTTGCCTGCCCAATTTCGTGGGAAGAAAAGCGAATAATGTGAAGAGCGTGTAATACAACAGTTCCATGTTCCCTACCTTGAGAGGCCGGTTTGCTTGTTTTTTTTTTTTTTTTTTTTTTTTTCCGGGGCTTTTTCTCAGTTGGTGGGGAGCGGCATGCTAAAACTAACCTGTGTAGGTTAAGAGAGAAACTTGCCCTCCTCTGCACTGACAGCCTGGAACCTGCTTGGGATTCTTTCTCTCTCCCTCTCTCTCTGCCCCTCCCCTGCGCACACCGCGCGCGCTCTCTCTCTCTCTCTCTCTCTCTCTCTCAGAAAAAATAAATAATAGTAATTAAAACAAAAAACAAAAAAACCCCACAACTTGCTCTTATTTTGCTGGACTAAAGGGGTACTTCAGTCTAGTCAGTATTCTGATTATTGTTTCCAACAAATGTTTCTGGGAGCACTTCTGTGCAGAGTGAGACAGCCTCCCGCTTTCCAAAGCAGAGTTAAGATATACTCTTAACGGTAACTTATTTTGTGGACAGGAACTTTTGCAGGTTTTCCCTTGATCCTTGTACCCTTCTGGATCTCAACCGAACTGCTGGATTTTAAACTAAAGCAGGCATCTTGAAAGATGAAAGGAACAGAGAAATGAATTCTCTTAACCACCAACTGCTATTAAGCCTCTCCCGCATCCCAGGTGATGAGTCTGGAGGTCTTGTATCTTTCTGCTGTAACTCCCAACTCTTAAAATGAAGGATGGCCTTCTACATGACATTTCAACACTGGCTGTCCCTGCCCAGAGTGTCCTGCCATCTCCTTCCCCTCTGCCAGGCAAACACAGGGGTGCCTAAAATGTGCCAGGCACAGTGCTGACTGAAATGGAATTCTGGCTTTGGAGTCTTCATTTGAGTTTCTACAAACAGCCCTTAGGCTCAGTGGATAGCCATAGGCCGGAGAAAGTGGTTTCCCCGGGTGAAAGAAAACTTTCCTTCTAATGAACATTATGGAATCCATATGGTCTTCCTCTGTCGCCTCTTCCTCCTTGTGTATGTGACGTGAGGGTATGGTTTTAAAGCAAGAAGTGTGCATGAATGTGTTTGACCCTGTGAAATCGTTGGGAGTGTTGGTGGAATTAGGAAAATTTAAAAACCTACACTGAGGAGTCAAAATAGCCTTCAGCCTGGTTTGAAGTTAGATTTGAAAACCATTTTTCATCTTTTTTTTGCTGCTCTGTTAGTATTGCCTTTCTAAGCAAGATTATTCCTTTAAAAGAGTTCCTGTCTTTATATTGTCCTAGGTCATTAATTTTGGGGCAAATGACAGGAGGCACAAAAACTCTATCACTTGAAATAACTTAAAAGTGTGACATAAAAGCCTATGGTTTATCAAAAATGGGCTCCTCTGTGTACATTTAGATCTAAAACATAATTTTTTTTTCTTTCTTCCTTGACCTTCTAATTTCTAATTAAATGGTTTAAAACCGAACATCCCAAAGGTTCAGTCTCTTCGTTGGAAAGATCTTCCTCACTTGGAATTAGAGCTGGAGATTGCTCAGTCAGTGATGGGCTCTGAATGACTTTGGAGGCATAGATAGAGCTGGGTTTTTTTTTTTTCTTTCCTTTTTTTTTTTTTTTTTTTTTTTCTTTTTACAAAGAGAGCTAAAATACTTCCTTAAGCATATCAATATAGCGAAACTCAGAACTGGCTCTGTCCACAACAAAACGAGTCCTAATTACTAGTTTAGTCTTAAATTTGAAAACTGAATTCTCATTGTTTATCCTTGGAAGTTATAAAGTTTGTATGTCATAGAGAAGCAGCCCTAGTAACAGTTAATGCTGTTGCTTTCATTCTCTTCTAAGTGTTTTTTTTTTTTTTTTTTTTTTGTTAGGTACTGTATTGTCAGATTTCCTGTTTCATTGAGTCTTGATAATCGCTTTATGCATTTCCTGAATTTAGACATAGGCATTTCCTAGAGGTTCTGAATTTGACATTCACAAGTGATTCAAAGAAGTCTTCTTAAATCATACTCGACGGCTGACATAAATATGAATGTACGAAGTACAAGTTATAGGACCATCCTGTTCATTTAGATTCCTCCTCTTCAATTCTGTTGAAGTCTGACATGGTACAGAAAGGGCCCTACTCAGCGATGGGAAGTAGAGACATTCAAGTTAAAGAGGGAGATTTTGTAAAAACAAAAACAAAACCCAAAAAAGGATGAGTTTGACTCTCCCCAACTGCAGGGAGCAGGGTAAACAATGAAACAGAAGCCCAAATTCATCACTATGGTTTGGAAAGGCCTGTTACCTCCTGTCTTGGGGTGGTGAGTGCAGAACGGGTTGAGACAGCATCAGTTCTATTATTACTCTTGACTCCTCTGATAGGCCCCCATCTGGCGGCTGGACAAGCTACTTTACGTCTTTGTAGATTAGCTAGTAACAGGGAGCTACTATTTCACTTACTAAAGTTTGCCTAATCTCAAAGTGCAAAAGTGATGTGTTAGGGTCATTGGTACTTGACCTTGTTCATCTGTCTACATTCTCATTTCATTAGACCCTTCTTTGGCACCGGCAAAACTTTTCCGTGTGAAAACTTTAATCGTAAAGAACGTTGTTTGTTTTTTCCGTGATGTCTTTCAATTTGAGTTATTGCAGAAATGTATACACTTTCCGACCACTCCTTATGACCGTACTGAAACCTTTAACGAGGAAGAAAGCTGTAGGCTTCTGGAAAGCATTTTCCTATGGTGTCTTCCCTTGCTCCATTTTCTTTTCCTAATATATTTTAGAATTAAGCCTTTAATGGTTTCCTCGGGTATGTTTAGGCTTTATATAATGCTATCAAGACCTTAGTGATATGAGCTTTATCTCTTTGTAGGTCAGATACTAATTTATCTGCTTAATCTTATTTTAGCCACCAAAGTCCTTGGCACTGTTAAATGGTTCAACGTCAGAAATGGATATGGATTCATAAATCGGTACGTGCTTGTATCTCCGTACATGTTTTAAATGCATGCTTGCTTTGTGGCACCAGCAGTTTATAGATCCTTGACCAGACTTTTTAAATGGCTTGTGTAAGTTTTTTTGTTCATTTCGTTTTCAGTTGATGGCTGGAGTAAGTTTTAAGATTTGTAAGCACTGTGACCATTCTCCTTTCTAAGCTAGTGGTTATTAAATATTAATTAAAATACACTTCCAGAGTATGGATAAATGACCTGTTTTTAAACATCCAGTCATTAAAAGAAAATTGAAGGTGACGGAGATAAAAGAGACATGGGAAGGGCCTTAGGATGATTGAGACCCTATCTGTAATTTCACAGATGGAGAAATGGAGTCTTAGACTGGTTAAGCAACTTTCCCAGGGTCACACAACTAGTGAGTAATTGAGCTAGATCTGTAACCCAGGTCTGGCCCAAGTCCTGCGTAGAAAGTATAGTGTTTTCTTTAAACGACGGTAGCTTCTAACCCTATAGGAAGGAGAACGCAGCTGTGGACTGTTGGCAGTCTGGTGATGTTTTTACGTGATACAGTCATTCGCTTTGCCCCCCCCCCCCCCCCCTGAAGATGTCTTAATTTCTTCCTTATCTGTTTTGGTGGGGGGGTGGGGTGAGTTAGGGCAGGGTGGTGGGGAGGGTGCTGTTTTAGGTTTCAGTGTAAGGAGAGCCTAGTTCACAGCTGTGCCCTGTCCTTTTACTGTCTTGCTTTGCTTTTTACTGGGAAGGAAATCTCGGGCTCTGATTACATTCCACGTGATTTAGGAGGCGATGAGAGGGAAGGGATGTTTCTGTAGATTCCGTACACTTGGATCTAAGCACTGTGGTAATATGGAGGAGTATGACGGGGATCTTGCAGGTTTGGAAGTTTTTTACCAGGGACCGATTCTGGACTTCTGAGTTAAGTTGAGGAGAAACAAAGATGTATGTTGCCTTTTTTGAGGTCTTGGGATCTAAACTCCTAAAACATCTGTTCTTTTAAGTTTTTCCCCATATCTAGTACTTTCATTTGTGAACTTTTTGTCTTCTAACAGAAATGACACCAAAGAAGATGTGTTTGTACATCAGGTAAGAGGGATAATAAATGCTACGTGTGCTGTGTGAAGAGACGGGTGTCTGTGATCTGCTCGTGTCCCTTTTCCAAGATGAAGTCCTGTAAACCTTCATTCCACTCTAAACGTTTTGCACGGTTTTATTCTGACAAGAGAGCACACTTGCACATTTTAAGATCGGCAGATAAACTCTTCTGTCCCATCATTTTAGCCTTTTATTTTTGCAGTCGAGCGAAGTAATACTCAGACCAGTTGCTAATCTTTAAAGCCTTTGACTCCTTAGCAGAACTCTGTTCCCGTGTTACCATCTTATTTTCCTGATTTTGTGGTTCCCCTTCCGTGTTTGGCTGGAACTGATGTGGCTTTTGCCTGGGTGGGTGTTGGTTAAAGCTCTTCTCCCCGAGTGGCTCTGACTTGAAGTAAATAGCGCAGCAAAGCAGATGGTTAGGGTGTGTGTAGCCAGGACATGAGAAAACTCCCCAATGCCCAGGATAATCCTCTCTCCTGTAAAAATGAGGCATGTCCGGGTCAAAAGGTCCACATCCCTTTGGATTCGGAGATGTAGGAGATGGGTAAAATATGGGAACCATGGGCTTCTTGGCTACTGAGGTCTTTGTCTTTCTTTACATTCCTGGCCTAGGATGCTCTTTATTTCATTATGCAGCCTGGACTTGTTTTACAACACAGGTTAAAAGAAGAGATGCCTGCCCTCGTTCTTTTTGTATATTTATTTAATTTCCAGCCAATTGTCTCAAGTCTGTGGGGAGCTTAGTGTGTAACAGGAAAATACAGAGTCAGGTACTAAGACCAGTACCTACCTGCAGGGCTCTGTGAAGCAGCATCTGGTTTTCTTTGGTTTTGTTTCCTTCTGTTTTGGGTTGTGGGCGAATTGGGGTGGGAGTGGTGACTGGGGAGAGTAATATCTAAGGTTAAGCTCTCTATTGTGGTTTCTGCTGTTTACGTTTCTGCTTGACTGGATGTATTTCAGTTGTGCCTAGATCATTTGAGATTTTTTGTTGTTGTTGTTGAGACCCAGTGACCTTTAAAGTTAAAACAGACTGAAAGAAAGTGTTGCTTCTCATACCTAGAGGTTAATAGGTAGACCTTTGGGGCTAAGCAGTCTGTGTTTGACAGCTACATCATAGGGACCTCACAAGTTTGTGTCCTGGTGGCCAGCATCATTAGCCTGCGAGTCTATGACCTGATTCCAGCCCCCATGGGGTTGCGTGGTGAGTCACCTCCATGTGTTGAGGCCTGCCCCGTTGAACAGGAAAAAGGGAACGAGCCGGCAGGGAGGGGCTGTTTTGGGAATGGCTGAATGTGCTAACTGCGCGCCGATATCCTGCCCTGAGCCGCCTTTCTTCCTCCGTGGGTGAGGTCTCTGTGGCATTGGCTCCTTTTTTTCCCCCTCCTCCCTCCCACTCAGAGTAAGGGAAGGGCTGGATTACACATGCCTAATCGCTTTATAAAATAAGGTTGACCTAGTTCCATAGAAACTCAGAGCCCCTTTAACTATTTAGAGATACCAGCTAAAGAAATGGAAATTCTTTGCAGGAATTATTCTCCCCGCCAGTGACCGAAAAGGGGAGGCCTTTTCATACGCAGATACTGAGGTGCAGGTGTCTCATGCAGCAGAGCATCTCCATTAAACTTTTAATGTATTATCACAGAATGTGTAGGGATGAGTCAGATACAAATGGTGTGATGGGGAAAGTATTGGATAAATATCATATGGATACAGTGCAGGGATGTGGATTCCCCCTACCCACCCTGCCTACCCCCCGCCCCCCCGCAGGCTGTATCTTTATGTCTTCAGCAAAATCCCTTACCAGCTTCATTGTGTTCCTTCTCCATAAAATGGAGGAAGGGGGAGAAGAGGCCAGATTATGATTATCAGTAATGTTTCGTTCCTGAGGTAATTGTGTGTGTTCCATCAGGTGTATTTATCCCCCCTGGCATTTTAAAATTCCTTTTCTCTAGTCTTCATCATCCCTCCTCTCCTTCGCTCCTTTTAAAATTCTTTTTGAGATTCTCTTGTCTGTAGATAGTTTCTCCACCTAAAAAGAAAAATAAATAAAATAAAAAATATATGTGTGTTAAGCAGGACTTCACGAAGGCATCCCCCCTTTCCCCTCACCCATAGAGGTACAGTCTAAATCTTAGATGCCTAGTAGCCTGAGGGAACTAATATTTCCAATTTCATGATCAGGCTGTAACGGAGGTGGGTACTAACTGCACATCCCGTTGGATCCACCTACCAAGATGAATTTCAAAGGATACCACAAATTAAGAAAACGCGGAACATAGTTTTACCGTGTTTTTGTTCTGTTTTGTTTCGTTTTTTATTACTGTTTTGAAGATCCAGGTGAGTGGGAGAGTACTTTCAAAAAGTAATAAACTTGTATGCAGTAAACTTGCGAGATGAAATCTGTGGCCAATATTGACATACTCTTCATTTAGAATTTTCTGTTCTCTTGACAGACTGCCATCAAGAAGAACAACCCACGGAAGTACCTGCGCAGTGTAGGAGATGGAGAAACTGTAGAGTTCGATGTGGTTGAGGGGGAGAAGGTGAGACTATCGTGGCTGGGTATCGAAGTGTGCTAGCATACGGTTTTCTTGCATAGTGAGTGGTCTCTCAGCCCCTTATGAATTAACCTTATTTTGGATTTTTGACAGAAGTGACTTTTAAGTAGAAAATTTTTGATTACTGAATACCGCTATAAATGTTCTTTGATTGATTATAAAAGGAGGTTGTAATTTCTCACTTAATAAATGATGAAGAGCCCTATTTAGTTATAGAGGGAGAAGCTAATTTTTCAAAAGTTAAAGGACGTATTTTATTTCGGTACCAAATGTATATTCCAGTGTATATTAAAATTTTATAGTATTTTTTTAATCCCTGCACCCAACATGGGGCTCCAACTCATGACCCTGAGATCAAGAGTCAAATGCTCCACAGACTGAGCCAGCCAGGTGCCCCATAACACTTATAGTATTACAAACAGATAAAAGTTGCTTTGGGGAAAAAGATATCTTTTTTTTAAAGTTTATTTATTTATTTTGAAAGAGCACGAGTGGAGTGGGGTGGGGGGTGGGGGGAGAGACGGAGGGAATATCCCAAGCAGGCTCCACGATGAAAGTGCAGAAAGAGATCATGACCTGAGCCAAAATCGAGAGTCGGATGCTTAACCGACTGAGCCACCCAGGCTCCACATTTATTTAATACAGAAACTTAAATGATTTCTTTACTAATGTGATCCCTCAGCTGTGTTGCAAACCTGGAGTTTCAAATCATCCACCAGCAAATGCTGACCTGTAATGATCTCTGTTATCCCATCCAACTCTTAAAATTTTGTATTGCCAGGTTAATTTCACCTTCATATGTTTTCAGAACTTGAGGTTTTACAAATAGATGTTGAATGTGAAATACATTCTTTGAATCTCTTTTGTCTGATTTTTTTTTTTTTTTTATGTTTTTGAAGCATTATTTTATCTCTTTGTCTGTAAGAGAATAAGAACGCTGAGTGTGTTTGAAGGATACTAAGACGGTCTAAAGCGGCACCACATTTGTGGAAACGATGTCTTACTCAATCCAGGACTCTTCTGTTGCTGCCGAGATGGGAGAAGTTTCCCTCTCAATAGCTCAGTGCTGGACAGAGCCACTCGAGCCCATGAAGAGCTGTTCTCTTAGTGCCTCTTAGAATAATCTAGGTTTCAGCGTTGTTCTAGGATGGTAACATCTAACTTTTTTCCCATGGAGAAATATTCTTCCTGGTCTAGCATTACTTCTTTCACAATCGCATTACATTTACCGGTGTGTGTTCTTTAAAGAGGTACATACCGTTTTTGAAGTTGGCATAACCAAACAAGAAGGGAGAGTTTAGGTTGTGTGAGCAAAGAAACTACATTTATAATCAGGACACCAAGCACCTTGCTGATCTTATTAAGACTCGGGTGTGTATTTGAGATCACAGTAGGAATTGTGGGTACGTTCTGCCAGCTTTAACATTCTGACTGTCCCAGGCTGGTTTTTTATGGGGGGCATGGGTGAAAGGGGTTAGTTGAGTTAGCTTCTTTTGATTTTGAGGCCGTCTGTGTTTGTCTTCTTTCTCAGGGTGCAGAAGCAGCCAATGTGACTGGACCGGATGGCGTTCCCGTGGAAGGGAGCCGTTACGCTGCCGATCGGCGCCGTTACCGACGTGGCTACTATGGCAGACGCCGTGGGCCTCCCCGTAATGTATGTTGTCTCAGTGCCCGAAAGAGTTTTCACGTGTAAAACGAAGTATACATACCTGCAGCAGATAAATGTATCTCCTCCCGGAGGCACAGAATGCTTTGGTTTGGGAAGGGAAATTTGTAGTGCCCAGAATTCATCCACAGCCACGGGGCTCTTTGGAAACTTGCCATTCAGAAGTTGTATCCGTTTGTACGTATTTGGCTGCAAGTAACAGACAACTATCTTTTAAGAGGGAGGGCTTAATTAAGATAGGCTGTGCCAGGGTCGTCAAAAGGGCTTTCTCTTTATTTGGCTCTTTTATCTGGCCAGAGCCTGGTCATGTGGCATTCACTGGCAAAGGGGAACGGGATTTCCATGATTGGCCCAAAGCGGTTCATCTCTTGGCACGAGCACTGTTGACCTCTAAGAAAAGAAGTGTTTGGTTGGCAAGGAGAATGGGGGATAGATAGCTCAGGAATAGGCAAAAAACCCAGCACTGACCGCAGAAGTATTAATTTACCTCGATTAAGTAGCTGGTTTATTCAGCGTAGCATTTTCCCATTATTTTAAAGTAAAGAAGCAGTAAGTGATACTCCAGATGTTTAGTTCTCTAGATTGGGAACAATCCAGGCCAAAGGGTTTACAACCGGGTCTGTCTGGAGCTTACTTAGAAGGCTCAGTTTGAAGCACGCTCAAGGCACCCAAAAAGAATCCCATTCATTTGTAGTCATGAGGAGCCTCTTAAATTTGAGTCATTTTTTGAGGTTTCTAGAATTAGTACTTGGGATTGGCACTTACAGAATAAGACTCGAGATGCTTTGTGAGCCCTAGACTATGACTTTGCGTATCATCCGAGGAAACCTTTTGAAAAATGTCACCAGAAAAGAAAGTCTGCAAAGTGAGAATGATTTATTATTATGCTTTGATAGATTTATATCTTTCCACTTACCTTAATGCTTTCCCTCTTCATTCTGTCATCTTCACACCCTGCCTAAGTTGATTTTTTTTAACGTTTGTTTATTTACTTTTGAGAGAGAGAGTGCGCACACATGCAAATGAGTCGGGGGGGGGGGCAGAGAGAGAGGGAGACAGAAATCCCAAGCAGGCTCCATCCTGTCAGGGAAGAACCTGACACGGGGTTCGATCTCATGAATTGTGAGATCATGATGTGAGCTGAAATCAAGAGTCGGATGTTTAACCGACTGAGCCACCCCGGCGCGGGCCCCCCCCCCCCCCCGCCCTCCAGATTGGTTTTTTATCAGCTACCTGATGACCTCTTATTTTTCTTTCTGTATTTTTCTTTTTTTATTTTATTGCTATTTTATTTTTATTCTTTTTAAGTTTCTATTTTGATTCCCGTTAGTTAACGTAGGTGTTACATTAACATGTTTCAGGTATATCATCTAGTAATCCAACAGATGCATACATCACCGTGTGCTCATTGTGACAAGTGCCCTCCTTCATCCCCATCACCTATTTCACCCATCTTCCCATCCCCTCATCTAGTTTTGTATTTTTCATACCCATGTTTTGCTTATCTTACTGATTTTGTTTTTAAAGTTTATTTATTTTTGAGAGAGCACACACATGCGTGGGGACGGGGCAGAGGGAGAGAGAATTTTAAGCAGGCTCCACAGTCAGTGAAGAGTCCAACGTGAGGAGTCCAAGGTGGGGCTGGATCCCACGACCCTGGGATCATGACCTGAACGGAGTTGGACGCTTAACCGACGAGCCATCCAGGTGCCCCCCTTATCCTGTTTGATTGTTTTTTGTTCTTTGTTTTTTTTTAACATTTATTTATTTTTGAGACAGAGAGAGAGAGCATGAACAGGGAGGGTCAGAGAAAGAGGGAGACACAGAATCCGAAACAGGCTCCAGGCTCCAAGCTGTCGGCACAGAGCCCGACGCGGGGCTCGAACCCACAGACTGCGAGATCATGACCTGAGCTGAAGTCGGACGCTTAACCGACTGAGCCACCCAGGTGCCCCTCCTGTTTGATTGTTAATAAAAACCTGTGCTGGAGGTGGCGAGTAGGAATGAGCTACTGTAGCATTTATTATATAGCATATTAACTTTTCCAAGTTCATCAGATTCACAGAACTCTGGTTGTGATGGCAGTCGACCCTTGAATAACACGTGTTTGAATTGTGTGGGTCCACTGACAGCAGGTGTTTTTTGGTAAATACAGTACATGAATATAAATGTATTTTCCTTATGATTTTCTGAATAACATTGTCTTTTCTGTGGCTTAATTTGCTGTAAGAATACAGTGTATCATACACGTAACATACAAAATAGGTGTTATTGACTGTATGTTGTCAGTAGGCTTCCAGGAAACAGCAGGCTTTTGGTTGTTAGGTTTTGGGGGAGTTCGAACACATGGGTTTTTGACAGCGTTGGTGCCCCTAACCTTCTCATTGTTCAAGGGGCAACTGGATTTTGATTATTATGTGAATTCAGAAGTAAAAGTGGTAGAAAAACGTTAGCAGTTTTTCCTTAAAGACTTTCCTCCTCAGCTGGAAATTGCAAAGTCCTGCGTGTGAAAGCTACTTAGAAAGAAAACTTTCAAAATTCTGAAAGTACGTGTAAATGAAGGTGGTTTTTTTTGTTTTTGTTTTTGTTTTTGTTTTTGTTTTTTTATTGGGATGTCCTGACATCCTGACAGCTTATTGACTATCTCTCAAGAGCATGTTTGGCAAGGGTGGTGCCATTATTCCTATTTGGAAAGATAATTAATGAAAGATTTGGCTGTTTAAAACTCAAAAAGGTATAGAATAGCCTAAAAAGAAGAATAATGCAGTCTTCCACTTACTACTTTGGTGTATGATTTCTATGCTAATGTTTCTTTTTTACTTTTTTATGCTAATATGTGTTACGTAGTTGTAGATTGTAGCTGGTACAGGTTTTATGAAGTATACAATGGCTGGATTTTTCTGAAATTACTGGAGGCGATAGCTGAAACTTTCACCTTTTGGGAATTTAGTTGCCCGTGTGGCTGATTCTGGAGTGTTCTAAATCTTAAATACCCTCACCCCCAAAAGAAATGGGTCATTATTTTATTAGTTTTTAATTTATTCATTTTTGAAAACTATAATTACTTCCCTTGATTGCCTTTTGTATTCGCATATCTATATCCTTTAGTGTAAGATTTGAAATAAATTCTTTGAGGGATGTTTGGCTATTTATGTTTTTATGTAAAATATTAGTATGTGATATATAGTAACTTAAATATAGGAAAAAATGTGGGGTCGGTAGTTTCCTTTGTTAATAAGGCCTATATTTAGAAACTGCCTGTATCTATTACTTACTACTATAAAAGTGCCATTAAAACTTTATTCCAAAGCCTATAAAGAAAATCATGCTGTAAGTCAGTGGTTCTCAAACTTACTGGTTTTTGGACCCATTTGTATATTTAATTATTATCGATGATCCCAGAGGTTTTATGTGTGTTTATATCTGTTAGCAGTTAGAGCAGACATTTAAGAGATATTTAATTGATTGTAAATAAGCTCATTACACATAAATATAAATAACATTTTTAATGAAAACTAGGCTTTTATTTTTATTTATTTTTTGATATTTTTAACGTTCATTTCTGAGAGAAAGAGAGCAGGGGAGGGGCAGAGAGAGGGACAGAGGATCTGAAGCAGCACAGCCCAATGCAGGGCTCAAACCCACGGACCGTGAGATCATGACCTGCGCTCAAGTCAGACACTTAACCGACGGAGCCACCTAGGCGCCCCTGAAAGCTAGGTTTTTAAATTGAGTGAGAAGAGTGGTGTGGCTTCATATTTTTGCAGGTCTCTACTTGATTTAATAGCCAGCTGGGCTTTCGTATCTCCTTCTGCATTCAGTCAGCTAAGAGGCTCTGTGTCCCTGTGGCTGTTTGGAGCCTCCATATACCCATGAGAGAATAAGAGTGGAAAGGGCAAATAGTATCCTTGCACCATTATGAGAATCGTTTGAACTGGGTACCCGCCCCCCGCCTCTGAAAGGTTTTTGGAGACCCCAGCCACACTTTGAGAACGGCTCTAGGAAGGTAGGACTCTTAGGACAAAACTGTTAACACCACACAATGTTTTTTTTCTTGCTTTGCCCTGACTCTGCCCCATCGGATGGCAGATGTTGGGAGACACACATTAGCTGGAGCTATTAAACTGTTAACAACCTTGTACATGTTTTCTTTGGTTGTTCAACTGATGATTCACCAATTCTTTTTTTGAGAGAGAGAGAGAGTGAGAGCATGCGTGGGGGAGAGGAACAGAGGGAGAGAGAGACCAGAGGGGGAGGGAGGAAGGGAGGGAGAACGTGAGGCAGGCTCCACACTCAGCACAGAGACTTACGTGGGGCTCAATCTCAGGACTCTGGGATCGACCTGAGCCAAAGTCAGGAGCAGGACGCTCAACCGAGCCACCCACACACCCTCCCCAGCCCCACCGTTATTCACCAATTCTAATGAGATGACTCGTCAATTCATTATAGATTGATTGCTTTTGCTTTTCTGCTTCTTAATATTTTATCTGCCCAGATCTACTTTAATCTTAATGTAGTTTATCCCAGGTAATCACACGATAACCTGGGTTAAATGCATTTTGTCCGTATAGTAGAGGGGATTATTCCCTTTGGGGGAGATTTTGTTTTTCCTTTGGTGATATTCATCCTGAGCAGTATTCTTTGGTTCTGTCCTTGCTGAAACTTCTTCTGAATCTCTGTTTCTTTGCTTGCTAGTACGCTGGGGAGGAGGAGGAGGAAGGGAGCGGCAGCAGTGAAGGATTTGACCCCCCTGCCACTGACGGGCAGTTCTCTGGGGCCCGGAGTCAGCTGCGCCGCCCCCAGTATCGCCCTCAGTACCGGAGGCGGTTCCCGCCTTACCACGTGGGACAGACCTTTGACCGTCGCTCACGGGTCTTTCCCCATCCCAACAGAATGCAGGTAAAATTGCACCTGGGACTTTTCTTCAGCCGTCCTCACCCCTCCGTCCTTCCTCTTCCTCCTCCTCCTCCTCCACCACCAGCCGCCGGAAATCAGACCTTGCTTGTGGCTTCCTGATGCTCCAAAAGCTGTGAGGCGAGGCCTTTAGTCTGCTCTTTCGGAGCAGCCATTCTAGTGACATTTTCAAAAGCATGACCACAGGAGCCATGCCCGTAATTGGGCACCCTGGGGAACACGGGACAGTTTAAAGTAGAGAGACAGGGGGTTATGCGTTTTAAGACTTTGAACTCTGAAGTCAGCAGACCTGGATTTGAATCTTGTCTCTGCCAACTTGGGTCTGTGAGCTTTTGCAAAAACTGAGTTAATTCTCATCCATTGGACGGGCATAATTAACGTGCCTCTTCCATGGGGTCATGGTGATTAAATCAAAGGCGAAGCTATTTAGCTCGGTGCCTTAGGATAGAGGAAATCTATAGAGTTTTTAATTTGCATGAGATAGTGTTAGTAAGAAAAGCTGTTGTAGATGGGGATTGTGGATGAGTTATTACTCTCCTTTTTTGCTGAAAAATACTGACAGAGCTATTGTGAACCTGACCTATAATCGATAAACATTGTAACAACTCTGCAGTTCCCCAAGAAACTTGGAAAACTTGGCCTAGGACATGATTTTTTGTTACCACTAGCTATAACTTTTTCCTCTTAGTGTCCTTGGTTTTTGTTTTCTGTTTTTCCACGAAGTGTTTTGACTGAACATTATGTTCAGTCTGTTCTTTGCTACCCATCTCTTATCCCGTCATGCATGACTATGTTCTTTCTACATTGCTTCTTGTTATTTCTCTTCTACTCTTTAACAGCTGTCCCTGACGAATGTGCTAAAAATAACGAGTAGACTTGCATATATGGAGAGACTGGGTACATGGGGCATAGTAGGTTTCTTTAGGGCAGCACTCTGGGCTTCTAGGAAATGAGAACAGGAAGAGTCAGGGAGATTGTAATACACATTTATTTTTAGGGCATTAGTAGTACTTTCCTGAAATAATCTTTCTTAGTATTTTGCACATCCACACGTATCTTTTTTTGAGAACACGATTCTTTTCTATGTGGTTTAAAATAAAGTATATTTTACCTTAGGAATTGAAGGTTCAGAGCAAAGGGATTCTTCAGTGCTATGTAGAACATCGTTTGCAGAAGCTGGTTGAAAACTAGTTTTGGAAAACATGTGCTTATTCTGATAATCACATGGAGTTGTTTTAACTTGAGCTGACTATCTTACCCATTCCATATATGAAATAAAAGCTGTCCTTAGATTCCTTCAGTATTTTTAGAATCTTTCTAATACATCCCATGCTTGGATGTTCAGACACTAAAGAAGTCTGCTTCAGGCAATCAAGAGCATCAAATGAAAATCCCTAAAACTCTCTTCCATAATAGCTAGGCTAATGGTTTAAAAGTATAGTGAGATCTCTAGGATGTTAAATATTGAGGTCAAATAGAAAAGTCTTTGGAAACATTTTTTACTGTATAAAAACCGAAACTGACACAACAGGGGGAAAAAAATGATAATATACAGACCAATAGAATTTCCCTTCTGTACAAAGGACATGATATTAAAAAAAAAAAAAAAAAAAAAAAAAAAACAAAGGACATGATATAACATGATACATCAGTGACCACACGACTTCTGGTTTTTCAAAGATAATACCTATCTAGCTCAATTTGAATTTAATTTCCGCTTGGAAATTAAGTCGAATCGGTTACTGAACTAATAGCAACATTTTGCCGTCTCTGAGAAAAGAACTGTATGATAGAGAAGAGGGAGCATGAATTATTTGGCACTGACGAAGTGGCAGACGTTTGAAATCCGTTCTCGTTCAGTCTTCCCTGTAGCTTTATGAAATTGGCAGTGGTTTCCATATTTTTGTTGGTGTTGTCACAAATGAAGAGATTTGCCTATTCTAAAAAATGGGCAATTTGTACCTAAGGTCCTGCGGCAGAAAGTTGTAGAACTGGATTCAAACTCAGCCTCTGCTAATGCTCTTCCCGTTCCACAGTTCTAGTAAACTCTAGCCCTTCACACATGCTAATTGCTTTTCCTGTCTGCTTTTTGTGGATCAAGGTTCCTGAGGAAGCAGCAGCTTGGCCTGTTCAGAGAACTAAAGGGAGGCTCCTGTGGTGACAGTGTGGGCGAGGCCCAGGGGGGTAGGACATGAGATTAGGGCGATGTCTTAGAGCAGATAGAGCATGTCTGGTAGACTGATAAGGACTGCTGACCTACTCCAAATGTGATGAGAAGCCAGTGAAGGGATCTCAACAGGGAAGAGATATTTAGGAGCCCATCGGACTATTTATGGAAGCTAGACCACAGGAGGCAGCAGTGGACGTGGGAGAGACCGGCTGCTATAATCCCCTGTGCGGAGATGGTCCTGCCGTGGATGAGAGTACTAGCAGTGGGGGTGTGCTCAGTGGTCACGTTCTGGCAATATTTTAAACCTAGACGTGACGGCATCTGATGATGGAGTGAATGTGTGGTGCGAGGCGTAAAAGATACCCCTGTGGTTTTTGATTTAAGCAAATACGGGAAAACAATAAAGATTGGGTTTAGGGGAAGGGTGAAAACCATCTGGAGATCTTCCCTCCCCCTCTGTCCCCCCCCCCGCGGCCCCCCCCCCCCCCCCCACGTTAAATTTTACCTCCAAGTGGAGATGTGAAGTAAGTAGGCAGAAAAATAAAACACAGCCAAGAGGGAATATGCGGCTCGGGTTAGGAAGGTGTAATTTTAGATAAGGTGGCTACAAAGTCTTTGGGCTCATGTTTGAGAAGAGACCTACGTGAAGCGAGGGAGCGAGTCTTTTAGGTCCTGGGAGAAGCCATGAATGGCCGAGGGAAGGGCAGGGACAGAGGCCGAAGAGAGCCTGAGGAGGGCAGACGAGACCAGGTGCGAGTTTGAAAGGTCTGGCGCTGGATGGGATGAACTCCAAAGTGGGTGTAGGTGGAACACTGATCCTAGGACTGAGTCCTGGGCACACCAGCTTCCTCCAAGATGAGGAAGATGAAGAGTCTGGGATGATGAGATGGAGCAGATAGGGAGAACATATTTCCAGAAGGAGATGCCGTGTCAAATACTGAGGAGGAGAGGAGGGAGTTAGACTGCGAGTGGATTCCTGTTGTTGGTAACTTGGGAGTTAGTGGTCCGGTAAGGGCAAAAGTCTGATTAGCATGAGTTCAAGAGAGGGAGAAGAGGTCTCGTATTCTCCTTTGAGGAGGTTTCTGTGGTGGTTAGTTAGTGGTGGTGGTTTTCCTTTCGTCTGTCTGTAAAGGAGCTCAAATGGGGCAGTAGCTGGGAGGAGGCTATGGGGTCAGAACAGGGTTTTTGTTTTTGTTTGATTTTGAGATGTAGTGAGTTCTCTCCTGGCCTCCCAAGCCCTCTCTTCACCAACAACTTTGTGAAAGCCGTTGTAGGTGGACAGATCAAGTATGCTCTACGTGCACACACATATACCCATGTTTATATATGTGGAACTCATGCTGTGTGTGTGCATATATGTATTTGTATATGTGTGTTCCTTATTTCTGTCTCCAGAAATGGCCTGAAATCAGTGACTCCTTAATAACATTGAGCATACCTGTCCTCCAGTGTTTTGTTTCTAAATACCATTCTCCAATAAAAAGAAGCTCTCTTGGAGAAGTGGCTGATTTCAGAGCTGGGCCAGAGAAAGTACAATATGAGCCCGGAACATCTTGTTGTGCCAAAACGCAAGAAAGTACTCAAAGAATGTTGGAGACATGTCAGAGGGACAGGAGCCAGTTTGAAAGGGTTCCCATTGGCCAGTAATGATAGTAACAGATTATAACTCATTGAATAAAATAGAAAACCATGAGTCTATGCAGATATAAATACATAAATGGATATATTGAGAACTTGATGAGGAATGAAACATTTACACACTTTGAACGTACTGCTCCAAATCCTCACTAATTACAAAGAGGAGAAGAGTAAACGTACAGCAGAGTAGGCTTGCCAGATACTACCTTAACTACTTCTGAACTTGAACGTTGTCAGTAACGGCACAAATTGAAACCATCTGCCGCCCAACGGGATGCGATGCGAAGGGTGCGGTGTGACTTTTATGGCTTCCCTGCCAGATACACAGGAGCTAAATCATGAGGAAACACCAAACAACCCCCAAACTGAAGGATAGCGTATAAAATAACTGGCCTCTAATTTTTAACAGCGTCAAGGTCACGAAAGCCAAGGAAATATCGAAGAACTGTTTCAGGCAAAGAGCTAAATTCAAGGCATGGTTCTGAATGGGTCTTGGCCATCAGGGACATTACTGGGACAACTGGTGATACTTGAACCGGGCCTGAGGATTAGCTCTTGTACTTCCAACTGTTTTGTAAGTTTGTGATTATATTGTAAGAATTGCAAAAGATGGGTGCCCTTTCAGCATGTTTATGCACCTGGATGGAAATGATGGAGTAGAGAAGGGGGGAAAAGTATACAGTGAAGGGGAGGAGGGATAGAGAGTTTAAGTGTTCTAGGAGGTGAGAGAGGGGTTGGCTTTGGATATGAGCATAGACCACTTACCCAGGGTTAGGAGAGAGAAGAAAATGGACCGCAAACACGTAGGTGGGTAGATTTGAGAGTGAAAGAATGTGGAAATCCTTTGCCGTTGGCTTTTCTTTTCCTAGTGTAACATGGAGAAGTAAAAGATGTTAGTGTTGAGAAAAAAAGGTTAAGATGCGGCTGTGTTATAAAGAATTTTGGAGATGTTTGGTGGGTGTTCTTGTTCGTTTTTAGTTGTCTTTTCCTTTGGAAGTTCCACAGTAAATAAATTTTGTACCCCCAGTTTGAAATAAGTTTATCATCAAGGAAGTATGATTTTATTCTTTAAAAGATTATAATTAAATGCAAAGAGATGGAAGGAAGCAGTCAGAAGCGAAGGTGTTAAAAGGTGTGGGAAAACGTTTAAATGTAGAAACCATTAATGGTTGAAGGGATACCCTGTTCATAGAATTAGTGGATCTGAGTTTGAAAGGGGGAAGAGATTCTCATTGCTCAAATGTAGCATATCATTCTCTTTCTTTCTTTCTTTTTTTTTTTATTAAAAAAATTTTTTTTTTCTAACGTTTATTTATTTTTGAGACAGAGACAGAGCATGAACGGGGGAGGGTCAGAGAGAGAGGGAGACACAGAATCCGAAGCAGGCTCCAGGCTCTGAGCTGTCATCGCAGAGCGCGACGCAGGGCTCGAACCCACGAACCATGAGATCATGACCTGAGCCGAGGTCGGACGCCCAGCCGACTGAGCCACCCAGGCGCCGCCTCCCCCCCCCCTTTTTTTAATGTTGTATTTATTTTTGAGACAGAGAGACAGAGCATGAGCAGGGGAGGGGCAGAGAGAGAGAGAGCGAGACACAGAATCCGAAGCAGCTCCAGGCTCTGAGACGTCAGCACAGAGCCTGATGCGGGGCTCGAACCCACAAACCGCGAGATCATGACCTGAGCCGAAGTCAGACGCTTAACTGACTGAGCCACCCAGGGGCCCCTCATTCTCTTTTCTTTTATAATAATGGGTCCTTTTTTCTTTTTTTTTCATGGTAAGAGATGAATGAAACATTTCAAAGTGTTTAAATTAGTATTATCAAATAAGACTAAGAGCTCTGTGACACACAAAAGACTGTTGTAGTAGAAGTAAGTTTTTTCTTTCCTATCATTCACAAAGATCTAAATCATTGAACAGTTCACTGTTAAAGTTGAGGGTTCTCAGCTTTATTATGAAGCATTTTACTTTTTACTTAAAAAAAAAAAAATCTGATGGGGCACCTGGGTGGTTCAGTCGTCTAAGTGTCCGACTTCGGCTCAGGTCATGGTCTCGTGGTTCGTGGGTTCGAGCCCTGCGTCGGGCTCTGCGCTGACAGCTCAGAGCCTGGAGCCTGCTTCGGATTCTGTGCCTCCCTCATCCTCTGCCCCTCCCCCACTCACGCTCTGTCTTTCTCAAAAATAAGGAAACATTAAAAAAAATTAAAAAAAAATCTGAATGCAACTGTGTGCTCTGTGTCTCTTCTGTCTGGTCGTATGACATTGACTTTCGGCTCTGACTGCCTTCTTGTAGGCTGGTGAAATTGGAGAGATGAAGGAGGGAGTCCCAGAGGGAACACAACTTCAGGGACCGGTTCATCGAAACCCAACTTACCGCCCAAGGTACCGGAGGTATGTGACATTGCTCCCTAACAGCCAGTTGAAGGACTTGAGAGAGACAGCATAATGGATGAGACTGTTGGGGGCCTGTTGTATGGATCTATTATTGGAAGATCCATTGGAAGAAGTGGCTGCTTCGACTGGAGGTCTAAGGATTAGAGGGACTCTGCAGTGTGTTTTCCAACGGCCATGGGACATGTCCCCCCTATTTAACAAAATATTTTGGTATTCTTGTGCAAAACCATTGGTTTGTATGGGTTAGCTGTGATATGGTATATAGATGAATATTAATTTTTTTGTTCTATTGAATGAAACAAACAGAAAATTAATTGATGGGTCGTTGTTCAGTGGCCGTGCCAGAGAAAGGAGGAAGTGAGGGCCAGCCAGCATGTGGGGTACTGAATAGTCCCATCACCAAGGCAGTCTGGGGGTTAAGTCAGGCTACAGATCAAATTGTGTGTCCGTTCCCACCTTGAAGTTAGTAGCTGTGTCTCCTTTGGGAGGTTCCTGGACTCTTAAGACTTACTTACCAGGTCTATAAAAATGGACATTAAGGAATATTTTACAGTTTTTAAAAATACTAACGAATCTAAGCTAACGGTACCTGGTATATATATAGTAAGCCCTCAGTAAATATTAGATACTGTTACTACACCACCAATGGTATTCATATTAGTGAAGGAGTAGGTTTTTGTGCTTCATGCCTTGTGAAAACTGAATTGAGCTCGACTCCCTCAGAACCTTTTAAAGCTTTTAAAGCTTTGTATCATAAGCCTTCCTATTCCTTTTCCTGGTCCTTGATGTAAGTGAAGAAAGTAGACCTTCACTCCTGATCGATATTTATACCACCTGGAGGTTTGGCAACATGGGTTTATTGAAAGGAGAATATATTATTTTGGGAAAGGATTTATGCCAGTCTGTGTCCTTTTCCTCACAGGATTCATTCCAGTTGTAGACATAATGACTCTTAACGATTAAATACTAAGAACTTCCAAAATACGAGGTTTCACAGAAGTGCCTTAACAAAAACAGAAAGGAGACAGTGGTTCCATCCCGGTCAATCCCTGGCTGTGTGATCTTGGGAAAGTTACATTTGACTTTTTTCGACCTGTAAAAAGCATTTCTCTACGGTCTAACCAAATACTTAACCTCTCAACACCTCTTGATTTTTCTCACTAGAAATCCAATGTACAGAATTAGCATTGAAATTAAATGTTTAACCCAAAAACATACCAGCAACAGACTCTGGCACGAAGTAGTGTTAGAGTTCCTTCCGTGTTTAATCCCTCCAGGCTCCACTAAACTCAGTTCATGGAGGGCAGGTACCAGGAGCCACTCTTCTTTTATGATTTTACTATCTGTGCCTGTCAAGTGCCTGGCAGGACCATGATATGTGTCCAGAGTGTGTTTATTCACTACAAATAGGTATTCAGATGAAGAGGGAAAATGGTGGAAAAATAGGCTTTTTTCCACAAAATCTCTGCTCCATTTGCTGCAGTAGCCTGTGTATAATTCTTTTTCTTTTGTTTGTTTAGTGTTTATTTTTGAAAGAAAAAGTGTGAGCGGGGGAGGGGCAGAGAGAGAGGGAGACACAGAATCCGAAGCAGGCTCCAGGCTCTGAGCCGTCAGCACAGAACCTGATATGGGGCTCGAACCCACGAACCGTGAGATCATGACCTGAGCCAAAATAGGGAGGCTTAACCGATTGAGCCACCCAGGCGCCCCAAGCCGGTGTATTCTAGCAATAAATACCGATCACTTGACTTCTTAACCTTCAAAAGTAAAGATTATTCTTGCGGCCCCCTGTCCTGTTGCACTGTTCTCTTTTCTTTTGCATTCTCTGCTCTAGAGGCCCTCCTCGCCCCCGACCTGCCCCAGCTGTTGGAGAGGCTGAAGATAAAGAGAACCAACAAGCGGCCAATGGTTCAAACCAGCCATCTGCTCGCCGTGGATACCGGCGCCCATACAACTACAGGCGTCGCCCCCGTCCTCCTAATGCTCCTTCACAAGATGGCAAAGAGGTAAATCCAACCGGCCGGAAGGGGATGTTGCCACATCATCCTTAATCACGTCAAACTTTATTTAGTATTCCATCCTAAGTGTGGTTTGATAACCTGCCAACTGGCAATCATATAACATTTTATGTTATCATTATATTACATATGTATTTATATTTACAAATCATATAAATGTCTACTATTTATATATTAAGGTAATATGTATATAGCATTTATAGGTATTCTATTATATAATCTGTATATGAAAGATAATATAATATTTTTAATATTTTAGTTAAGATCTATGCGTCTATATATTATGGAGAAAGAATGCCCTGTACATAACATAAACAAACATTTGAGTTCAACTAGTTATCATTCTCTGAAAGGATTATGCATACTAATGGAGATTCAGAATTAAAATGTTGAAGGCTCTCCGAACGTAGGACAGCATTTACAGAGAGGAAGCTCTCTCTAAGCAAGTATTAAAAGCAATTGTGTATCAGAGACTTTGTTGCGGAGAGTGGTGGTGTTTAGTTGCCATTTATTGGCCGTTCTTCTCTGATACTAAATTTTGACTCCCACTTAAGAATAGTTACTTTTGCAGAGTGATTTATCTTCGTAAGCAGGAAGATCCCAGCTTTTGAGACCTTTTAGTCTTGAACTTTCCATTGTCATCCGGGTCGATTAATTTCCGGACTGTGGTTTTGTTTCGTGGCTTACTTAGACCAAGGCAGGCGAAGCGCCATCTGAGAACCCCGCTCCAGCCACCGAGCAGAGCAGTGCCGAGTAACACCAGGCTCCCCAGGCACCTTCACCATCAGCAGGTAAGAGCTCGGGCAGCCCGGGCCTTGAGTTGATTTTTTTTTTTTTTTTAATGTTTATTCATTTTTGAGAGAGAGAATCAGCATGAGCGAGAGAAGGGGAGAGAAAGAGGCAGACACAGGATCCAAAGCAGGCTCCAGGCTCTGAGCTGTCGGCACAGAGCCTGGCACGGGCCTCGAACTCACAAGCCATGAGATCATGACCTGAGCTTAATGACGTGAGTCGGACGCTTAACCCACTGAGTCACCCAGGCGCCCCTGATATTTTAAGTATTGTTGATTTCAGTCTGAGCCAGTTCTGTGGTTCATCTGGATCAGCCGTCATCTCCTGTAGGACTCCGGAGAAAGATCAGTTTTAGTGGTTAAATATGGGATTTGACCTTACTTTGCTAGGTTTTGGGGGGCATAAGCATTTGACAGTTATTGATGGTCATTTTTTTTCTCTATAGACATAATTTTTAATATTAATACCTCTTAACTCTTGAAAGTTTTACTTTTGTGACACCTAGTGGCCAGTTTGAACAGGAGACCGATCTACAGAATAAACTAGAGTATTTTTTTCTTCCCTTCTCCCTTTGATAACTAACATAATTGATTTTGAGGCCGTGCAGTATAATGAGCGAGAGCCAAGAGGTTTATGTACTCAGTGCGGGAGCCACTACTCATTTGCTGGGTGATACTAAGCAGTTTGTTTATTCTCTGCCCCAGCAATGTCTGCTGCTGGTAAAACAGGGATACCAACTAGACTTACTCACCAAGTGTTGTTGCAAAGATTTAGTGAGATAACATGTGTAAGGTGCTTAATCAGGGTGTGGTGAAGCATAACCTCCCCATAAAGGTTAGCTTGTCTTTATTGATGTTTCCTGCGTTTCTGTTTTCTTGGTAAAGGTCTTGGAAACTTTCAGTATAGAGGTAGAAATAGAACTAGACTGACCCAATTGTAGAGCCACTCCTAAAGGGATTTATAAGCCATAGTTGTTTTCTTTCTGGGTTTTTCACCTACTGACTCCTGGGGCTTAAATTTTTGAATATTTGTTGGTTGTTGTCCTTTGCATTAAATAAAGAATATGCTTTTAGTTAAAAGAGACTGTAAAACTCACAGCCTTCCATCAGGTAGACATTTGCTGTGCTGGGAATATTCAGTTTTATCTCTAGGTTGTATGGACAGTATCATAGAAATAAACTCCCTATTTAAATTTGCTTGCATGAACTGACTTAGAAATATGTATCAGTCATTTGGCTATAACCTTCTACTTAGTAACGTTATTTCTGGGTATTGCTTCTAAGGGAATAATCCAAAATACAGGGCAACAAATATTTGTACTATTTATAATTTGTCTAACGCTGGGAAGTGGCTCAGTGTTGGGTTTGTTCACGTTAGGAGATATTGTGCAACCACCAAAATAATTATGAAGAATTATGGATGCCGTAGTGTCATTTATTTGAAAAGGCTTCCTGATGGTAATTTTCTTTTATATAATTTTAAAAGAAATGTTGGAGAGAGAGAGAGTGCATATGAGCAGGGGAGGGGTGGAGAGAGAGGGTGAGAGAGCGAGAATCCCAAGCAGGCTCTGCGCTGTTAGCCTGATTTGGGGCTCAGTCTCATGAACTGTGACATCATGACCTGAGCCGAAGTCAAGAGTCAGATGCCTAACCGATTGAGCCCCTCAGACACCCGCTTTCATATAATTCTATAAAATTTTTACTGTGCACTGAATGTTCTGGTTTACACAAATGTTGTATTAAATGTGTAGGGTTACAGATCTGTAGTTGCGAGAATAGATTATGTGTAGACCTTCTGAAATACTGTCTCCTGAATTACATGAAAAGCATACTTTTTGCCTTTTTATTCTTAAACTCTTGGTCATTTTGTCACTCTGAGTTTGGTTTCATTTTTTTTCCCAGGTGACCTAAGGAAATTAATGACCATTAGAAAAAGAAAGCACAGAGCAGACCGTGACCTTACCAACACCAAAGAGACATGCAAGCAATTAACGTGGAAGAGTCATGACCAAGATGTGGACATTAGAACGTTTACTATCCTTTATGAAACAGACAACTATGAAAGGAAAATGTCAGCCAAGTTTCCTAGCCAGCTGAGATCCGGGAATGCCTGCACACGAGACGAGAGAGCAACCTCCCCAGTTTCAGCAACCACTAGGTTTATATTTTTTTTCCTGGTTTTTACTGTTTTGGTAATATAAATTGAAAGAAGAAATATTAATACCACATGGGGAGAACCCCAACCAAAGAAATCTGAAATATATAGTAAATGCTTTTTTTCCCCCTTTTTTGTTCATTTTGGATGCTGGTGCTAAACTTCCAAGTGTCGTGATTTAAAAAGAAATTTTATGCCCTTCTTATTTATTTCTAGGATGAGGGGAGGATAACATTTTTGCTTTCTTACGTGACTTGCTAAAAATGTGCAGTATGGAGTTCCTCAAAAATAAAATTTTTACCCTTGAAAGGAAATGATGTATAATTGGAGTACGTTTTCCTGTCTTGGCATATGTTTTGTCTTCCCCTTGTTATGCCCAGAATTCATGATCCCCAAAGACCACTAGGGAGCTGAATCCGATGCAAAAGCAAAAGAGCCTTTATTCAAGCTAGCTTGAGCTCAATCCCCTACCTGCACCGACGCAGCGGTGAGATCCTGGGGAGAGAGAGCGAGTTTCAAAAGCACAAAGGTTTTATTGGGGCCTAGGGGCAGTTGGTGAGGTAACAGCTGTGGCCTCAGCTGATTGGCTGGGGAAGGGTCGGAGTCCTGTTACGCAGATCGCCGGGTGTGTTTTGATCAGGAAGTTTGAACGGGTGAGCGAGAGGTTACTCAAGGGGAGGAGGCGTGGTCTAGGTGAAGGACACAGAACAAGATGGAGTCGGCCGGCGTAGGCCCGCCCTTTCACCCCCGACTTGACTCATGTAATAGTAAACTCCGCCAAATGGAAAGGTGCGTTAGTGCCATTTGGTAAATGTAGGCAAATGAGCTTGAGATCGTGAGATTCCTCCTTGAATGTACAGCCGGGAATGAACAAGTTCACGTTGGGGTTTGGCAGTAGGCGTGCTTTGTTTGGTACTCTGTCTCTTGAGTAATCTTCATTGAGGTGACCTGATGGCATTTAGGTTAACAGTTTTCTTTATATAAATGAAGGAATGGGTAGTTCTAACCTTGAACTCCCAGCCCGAGGTTTTCAACACCCAGCTGCTGTGTTGTATGTTTGTAGGTCTTTCAGAAGAGAGGAAGAGGGGCTCTTTCCAACCGCATTACAGATTTCTTCCCGCAGGGGAATATGGTGCCTTCAAGTTGAGAAATGTTACACTATGTCAATCAGTGCTATGCAATTACTTCTTAGATACACTGCACAAATTACGGATCCTTTACATCAGGTACATTTGGAGCCCCAGGTTTGTGCCAAGCACTATTCTAATGGCTGGGAGGGAACAAACCAACAAGAGATTCTAATCTCCACGAGCTTGCATTTTAGCGATACAGGGAATAAACCAATACGTAAACATGAAATAGAATGCCAGGTGGCAATAAATAGTGTAAAAGAAAAAAAAAAACACCAGAAAGGGGTAAGGATTGGCGTAATTGCCGGAGGCACCTTTGTTTTAAACGGGGAGGTCTCTAAATAATGAGAGAATATGAAAATGGTTTCGTGAGGTAGGAGAGCAGTAACCATTTGAATATCTAGGGAGAAGAATCCAGGCAGAGAGCAGATGTAAAGACCGCAGGGAGGGAGCATACTTTGGCCTGTTTCAGAAATGGCAAGTAAGGGGAAGTGGATAGTTCAAGAACCTTGGATTGCCTTGCAAGTTAAAAAAAAAAAAAAAAAGTTGGTAATAGACACAAAATGACAATATTCAAAGATATAAGAAAGTATTTTATGGAAAAACATTATCCAAGTTCTGATTCCCTCAAGGCAATCAGGTAGTATTGTGTTTTTTTTTTTTTTTTTAATCTCTTTCCGATTTATGTGTGTGTGTGTGTGATTGGCAAACTGATGCAAATTCAGGGAAGGGGGGAAGGCATCGTTTTTACTCTAACAACAGCCATTAGGTAATGTCTTTTTAAAACCCTATGGGTAAGTTTACTGCCCAGCTGGTGCTGTTTTATACCTTTCCCCTCTGCTCCTGCTCATTTTAAACAATTTTATGATGCAGTCTTTCAAACATTTTTTAAATGTCTTAAAAAACACTACGCACTCCCTGGGTTGCCTGGGTGGCCCGGTCGGTGGAGCGTCCAACTTTGGCTCAGGTCACGATGTCACAGCTCGTGAGTTTGAGTCCCATGTCTGGCTCTGTGCTGACAGCTCAGAGCCTGGAGCCTTGCTTTGGATTCTGTGACTCTGTCCCTCTCTGCCGCTCCTCCGCTCATGCTCTCTCTCTGTCTCAAAAGTAAATAAGCATTCAAAACCAAAAAACACTCTATACTTCCCGGCACTGAGATTTTTTGCCCATCTGGTATCTTTACTGTTATTCCTTTATCAGTATAGGTAGAGTCCTCTCATTTGTACTGGCTATTCAACGCTTCAGTTTTTTTTTTTTTTTTTTTAATTTTTTTTTCCAACGTTTATTTATTTTTGGGACAGAGAGAGACAGAGCATGAACGGAGGAGGGGCAGAGTGAGAGGGAGACACAGAATCGGAAACAGGCTCCAGGCTCTGAGCCATCAGCCCAGAGCCTGACGCGGGGCTCGAACTCACAGACCGTGAGATCGTGACCTGGCTGAAGTCGGACGCTTAACCGACTGTGCCACCCAGGCGCCCCTCAACGCTTCAGTTTTATAGCTATCCATAATTTTGTCAGCCCTCTTACTGGATATTGAAGCTTTTTTTAAAATTGCAATTATATTTTATCTCATAGTTCTAACATCCTTACCTCTAAACACTGTCGGTTTCTGGGTTACATTTATCCTATCGCTGGAGGGAAAAACAATAACAACGAATGCCGAAGAGTTGGAAAGTCTTCAGTAGTGGACATAAGTACGACCCTAAAACACTGGTTGAAGGTACAGAAGAAAGGATACGAATTGGATGGGCCTGAAGTAGGTTTGTTTTGTTTTGTTTTTTGGTTTTTGTTCCTTTACAGCGAGGTATCGGGGACTTGAATTGCTTTATCAAGAGACAGAGGCTATCTGGGTGAGAACATAGCCAGAGATTAACTAGAAGGCTATCATCTGGTGGTCACACATTAGCTGTAATTGGTATAAGGCTCATGAGTTTTGCATGTTTGATAGAATAGCACCTGTTGAGACAATCCTACACCCGAAATACTTGCATGCTTTTCATTTGCCGAGAGTGATGCTATCACAAATAGCTCAATTGACACGTTGTAAGGGGCTCCTGCATTTATTGCAAGGGTGCAGTTTTTGAAAGTACTTTTGCTCTTAGTGGAATGGAAAAATGTATTTATACAGACTAATCCTTTGAGATTCTTGAATAAAGTTCATAAATCTCTAATAATGTTAAATAAAAAAGCTCTTTAAATCTTGGAGCCAATGCAGGTTGAAACTTTTGGGAGCTTGTACTTGGTTTCAGTTGAAAAGGGGAGAAGACAAAATCTCTTGACTTCAGAGGAGTGATTTTGTATATTATGGCATAAGTGTCTTTTTTGTTCAATAGGAAAAATCTAGAAAGGAAATTGGCTGATATAAATCTCTATAAGTTAGGTAATCTCATCCAGCAAAGGTAAGACTTCATCAGTTTCATCATTCTCTTGGGGTGAAAGCAATTCATCTGACAAACGAGCTCCAGAACCACCCAAATTTTCACTATTAATAGGGCCAGTAAACTGTAACGGGACTGAAATCCACACTGGGAATGTGATACATGTTGCTTACTTTGTTGATCCCTCCCTACCCTTCTGTGGTTTGGTGGGCAGTATTCTATTGAAAGCATTGTAGAATGGAGGCATAGTGATAAAAGAGAGGAGAAATCACTGCTTTATTACCATAGTATCTTTCCTTTCCTGCATGGATCTCACTGTTTAATTCATAGAAGATTTCACACTGGTGGGGTTCGAAATGACTCCTGTGCCTCCCGGGTATACGGGACACCACTGGTGAAAGTCCCTTTCATCAGTTGAGGCAGAGCTTCTCGAGCAATAAAAATACTGGGAAAGTGTGTGTGTGTGTGTGTGTGTGTGTGTGTGTGTGTGTGTGTGTGAAGAAATTCTTAAACTATTTTCCAGAATGGCTGTTGCTGAATTGTGTCCCTCCCAAATTTATGTTCTACCCCCCCAGTAGGGTTCTAACCCCAGTAGGGTTAAGTTCTAACCCCCCCAGTAGCTCAGAGTGTAACCATATTTGGAGATGTGGTCTTTAAAGAGGTGATTAAGTTAAAATGAGGCCGTCAGGGTAGGGTCCAAAAGAACTGGTGCTCTTACAAAAAAAAAGAGACACGTAGGGTTTGCAGGCACAGAGGGATGACCACGTGAAGAGGCAGCAAGAGGGCAGCGGTCTGCAAGCCAACAGAGGCCTCCAGAGAAACCAAATCTGCTGGCACCTTGACCTTGGACTTCCACCTCTAAGAATGGGAGAAAATAAATTTTGATTGTATAAGCCACTCCATCTGTGATATTTTCGTGCGGCAGCCTTTGCAAACTGATACCATTTTAATTTGCAGCAGCAATGTATGAGCATTCCTCTACATCCTTGTCAGCATCTGGTGTTGTCCCTTTAAAAATTTTAACACTTCTATAGTACGTGTGTGGTGATACTCATTTTGGTTTTAACTTACATTTCCCTAATAGCTAATGATGTTGAACGTATTTTCATTTGCCTGTTTGTCGTGTATTTATGCGCTGGAAAATGTCTCTTCATGTCTTTTATAAAATTTTTTATTGCACTTTATTTTGTTTTTGCTTAAACCGTCTAAATTTTGAGAGTTCTTTATGTAATCTAGATATGAGTCCTTTGTCAAATATCTGATTTGTAAATGATTTTCTCTCAGTTTGTGGCTGGTCTTTTCACCCTCCTTAACACCACATTTTGTGGAGCAAAATGTTTTAATTCTGATGAATTCCAATTTATTATTTTTTCTTTAGGGATTATGGTTTTAGTGTCGTACATAAGAACTCTTCACCTAGCCTAAGCCTTGAAGATTTTTTTTTTCCGTTTTCCTCTCAAGATAATTTTTGTATGAGATGTAAGATTTAGGGTGAGTTTTGATTTTTTTGCCTATGGATTTCCAATCATCCCAGAAACACTTCTTGAAAAGACTATTTTTATTTAATTGCACTGCTTTTATAACTTTGCTAAAACCCAGTTGACCTTACTCATGTGAGTTTAGTTCTGGTGTCTTTCTTCTGTTCCACTGGTCTAGTTTGTCTTTCCCTCCACCAACCACACATTGCCTTGAGTACTGTAAATCTTACAATCAGGTAGCGTTCCTCCCACTTTATTCTTTTTTTCAAAATTATTTTAGCCATTCTAGTTTTTTTTTGCCTCTCCATGTACATTTTGGAATAATCTTATCTATTTCC